TGTCATTCTGTATGCTATGTTCGATCTGTTTTGCGTAGAACTTTATTTCGTTGCTGTTCTTATTCTGATTTATGTATTGTTCGACGTATGTATTAGTCCAGGCCCTTGCAGGAGGGACAAAAGAAGATTCATTTTATGAAACTATATAATGTGTGATTTGATGAAAATCTGTCCTCTGCCTGTAGCAGTCATTTTAATATGAGTTTTGTTTCTTAAATATTTTAATTTTGTATATGGATTTTGAAATGACTACATTCGTCAAGTGAATTTTATACTTCTTAATAAAATTAAAGTGAATTTTTGAAATAACAATTATTAATTGAATAAATATTTGAGAAATTAAGTCGAAGATCCATGTCTTCAACCTGTAGTACAACTTTACGAAATAATGGAATATTTTAATGCACCACTTTTAGTTTTTTTAATTGCTTTCTCTTATACTGGTTCTTGTCTTAAAGTGTAGAAATTAGAAGCACATGCATATACCTAATAACTTGTCACTACATATAATATACCTTGATACAATAAATCGTGTTATGGGTTGGCACAATTTGAATATTAAACTCATTTGGGTATATGGATAGATCAGTGTACACGACAAGAGTATTAATTTTTAAGTCCCACTCAACGAAATATCAAAGAGCTTTTAACATATATATGTCGTAGATTAATTATATTAAATTTCAATTTTATTTATTTTTAATAAGATGGTGAATGCCCAGTATGTTTGAATCACAGCCTACAACACGTAGTTGTCACTTCGTGCATTTAGTATTGGAAAAAATGGCAGAGGCAAAGTCAATCAATTCTTAAATACATTTAAAAAGAGAGAATGACTTTGTCATCAAAAATACCATTTATTGTAAAATTATATGATATAGGTTTGCTTTTATTCAAATAGTGTAGATGCACTAACAAGTTCATTGAATATATAAAAATATTAGGTTTAAAATTCCGTTAGTAACACTTGAAATTGATATTAGAAAATTCAAAAACTCATAATTCATTTCTATTGTATGATAGGTTGATGTTAGAGTTTTGCGCTATTTTTTTTTACCTCATTTGAAGTTTATTTCTTCTAAAAGAAAAGTTAAAACATTAACATAATTTTTTTTTTACTTTTGCTAAAAGAAAAAATATAATATTGTTTCATAATTGGTTTATTCTTTTCTTTTAGGAAAAAGTTTTAAAGTAGATAGTTTTTTCTAGTATGAAAAGATTTTAGGACTCTATAAATATAGACTTGTTTCTTCTAACACAACATAACAATAGAATTCACAACTAAAATTCAGAACTCATAAAGTTGAAATTCTGGTTTCACTTCTATTGAATGATAGGTAGCTGTTAGGATTTTGGTCTGATTTTTTTTTACCTTCTTCTAAAAGAAAAGTTAAAACATTAACATAAATTCTTTACTTTTGCTAAAAAGTTTGAGTAGCTAGTTTTTTCTAGTATGAAAAGATTTTAGGACTCTATAAATATCGGCTTGTTTCTTCTAACACAACGTAACAATAGAATTTACGATGTAGTCGTTTAAAGAGTTCTGTTTATGGGAATATTTATTCTCTTTACAGTTTCAATGTTTTTATTTATATTAATTTTTCATAAAATAATATTATGTTTTTAGAACAAGTTTTTTGTTATATGATTTATCAATCATATACTTAGCCTCTAATCACCTATTAATAACCCAATAAATGATATAGAGCACATGATTGAACGATACTATGACTGAATAGTTACTTCATGTTTACTCCACTAAGAAGAAATAGTCCTTATAAAGTGATTCAAAATTTTGTACAAACAACACCTAATTAACGAGTTCATACTTTTGCCAATCAGCACACTTTCTTAGAATGAACTGGTGGTTGTCAAGATCCATCCATAATGCACAGCAGGTAAGAAGAGATTGACCAGATAATATCACAAAAGAATTCTGTTATTTCCAAATTTTTTTGTAATTTTTCATCTGCTTTTTTCAATTTTAGATCAAACATTTACATGTGTGTCAAAAACTTATGAATCGCAGAAAAATGTTGAGTATCGCGGAACACATGAAAATGTTGGCCTTATTATTGGAGTGACTGGTGTAGTTGGCAACAGTTTGGCTGGAACACTCTCATCCACTGACACCCCAGGCGGCCCGTGGAAGATCTACGGTGTGTCAAGACGAGGGACGCCAGTCTGTAGCATTGCTAAAGTCACATACATTCAATGCGATGTCTCTAAATCAACTGATGTACAAGCCAAATTATCGACCCTAAAAGATGTGACACACATCTTTTGGGTGACTTCGGCTTTTGACCTTTCCACTTCCAAATGTTGTGAAATCAATGGAACAATGTTTCGTAATGTCCTCACCTGTGTCATACCAAATGCACCTAATTTACGCCACATCTGTCTCCAGACGGGCGGGATGCATTATATGGAAATTCACAGATCAATTGATGGGAAACTCTGTGTAACTTCTCATGATCCGCCTTTCCATGAAGACATGAAAAGATTGGAAAACGTTCACAACTTCTACTACACGTTAGAAGATGTATTGTTCGATGAAGTATCTAGAAAACCAACCCTAACATGGTCCGTCCATAGACCTGATTTGATTTTCGGGTTTTCACCTTATAGCACGTTGAACATTATTGGAACACTTTGTGTATACGCAACGATATGCAAATTCATACACATCCCGATGAAGTTTCCAGGTACAGAAGCTGTTTGGGATAGTTATTCGAATGCATCAGATGCTAATTTGGTGGCAGAGCATCAAATTTGGGCAGCAATGTGTGCACAGGGGAAAAACAGGGCATTCAACATTACTAACGGTGATGTGTTCAAATGGAAGCATTTGTGGAAGGTATTGGCGGAAGAAATTGGAGTTGAATATGTGGAATTCAACGCGACGGAGAAGATTATTTCATTGTCCGAGATGATGAAGGATAAGGGGCCTGTGTGGGATAAGATTGTGAAAGACAATAAGTTGATTCCGACAAAGTTAGAAGAGGTTGGATTGTGGGGTTTTGCAGATATGTTACTAGGTGGAGGGACTTGTAGGTTGAGCAGTGTAAATCGTAGCAAAGAGAATGGCTTCATTGGCTTTAGGAATTCAATCAATTCCTTCATTTTCTGGATTCACAAGGCAAAACATAATAGATTAATTCCATGAACTTTGTCTTTTTACTTCATCATTTTGATAAAAAAAATTGAATCTATGTTTAATTATTTTCATTTTACGTTGATATAGCTTTATTTTTTTTGTATATATCAATCGAGAAATTTAAAAACAAATATAAAAAAGAAGTATGATATTTTATTGAATTTTTAACTTTTGAGTGAGAAATCCCCAAAACCCCACCCGCTATTGTAGATCCGCACATGATAATATTTATATGTCACTTGCCTTATTTCTCGATTAGTAGTTCAGAATTGGCCGAACTCATAAATAAATCTCTAAATTTGTTTAATTTTTTCCTTCAGATATTTTGACTACGTGATTTTCCTATTGAATTATTGAACCGTCCACAATTTATTCCTTTTAAATATTGTTGGTTGATTTTGATCGGTTTTTATATTGTAAATGTCTTCAATTGTGTTTGTATTGTAATGATTTTAATTGAAGAAATGAAGAAAAACTCTATGAATCTCATTTATTTTTTATTGTGTTCAAATGACTACAAGTAAAACACAATTATTCTCGAACATTTTCATTATCAATTGGACTAATGAGTTTTGGAACAAAATAGTGTCCTTTACCAATATCCCTCACAAAATCTGATTCTGCGTCAACAAACGATGTTTGTTTAAAAGGAACAAATTATGGGTGGTTCAATGATTCAATAGGAAAATAGCATAGTTGAGATACCCGAGAAAAAAAAGCAACAAGCTTAGGGATCTGTTTATGTATTTGACCTTCACAATTCAATAAACAATTAATTGAGTGATCTTGATAAATGTATATTAATAAAATTTTTAATATTAATGTTTGTTGGCGGATATTTGAATTAGATATCTTTTATAAAAAAAATAAAAAATAAAATATTAGTAAAAATAACTTTAAAAAGAACGAAATAAAGTGTAGGTGTCAAGTTTCTCAACCAACCCTCTCAACAATTTACATGGCTAGCGAGCTAGGCTTATAACTCTCTTACGCATTGTTCAAATGTTGCAGCACCATTAGGATTTTTTTTAAAAAAAATAATAGGACGAAACTAAAATAGCCCTCACATAATACAATACTGGATTCAACAAATTTCCACTTTGATACAATATTTGAATATGTAATATTTGACATTTAGATATTATTGATTTGGCAAATAGTAAAAGAGGGTAGAGAAGATACCGAATAAATAATTGATACTGTAGTGTAATAGTAAAAAGTTTTTGCCTAATCTAAGGGAAATAATTAATCAGCATAAACATTTAAAAGCTCAAAGTCTAAAAGTTGGCTCATCGTGTCGTACGAAAAATAAATAATAGTAGGACCAAAAATGCATCGATGAAATCGAACTTCCAATTATCTGCCGACTATACATATTATATAATATCTTTTGACTATAGTTAAACGACTATTTAAGTTAATTCTTACCCTAAAAATATGATTCCATAATCTTTTAATATATTTAAATTATAATCCAACAACATGAGAGATATTGTTTAGCTCTCGATGCAAATGGGAAATTAATATCTGGGCTTTGACATTTCCTACTTCAAAATAGAGAAGAGGAAATTAATTACTATATATCATGTCGGTGGATTTTATAGTATTCTACTGTATTATGCATTGTTTTAAAAGACTTTATTAGAATTCGTCTTAGGGCTCGTTCTGGGTCGGAATGGGGCTCTAGCTCCCTTATTTGGTTATCAAATTTTTATATGACAGAATTATGCCCTTATAATTTGGTCACTGATGAGATCACTCTGAAATTTACAATATGGGATGGGCTAGCCCATGCGAACTTCCACTCATCATTTTGATGGATCATAAAAGAATTAATTACGTGAATATACAACTTAAGTTTACATATTCTCCATATTTCCCTTATTTTTTAAAAAAATACTAAAATCCCTATTTTTTAATAAGTCTAATTTAACAGATACATTATTAAATTAGAATCCTAATAAATCCTAACCAATTAAATCTTATCCCTAATTTTACTCTTTATTTTCCCCAAATAAAGAACCCATTTACACCACTTCCAAAATTAATGCGTCAATTTCTCAACGGTTCATCTTCTCAATTTTGAAAATCAAAATTTGTGCTCTCCATCCGTCAGCCTTCGTCTAATCTGTCCGCCATTTTTGTCTACTTTGTCAGCCTTTGAAAATCAAAATTGTGCTCTCCGTCCGTCCGTCTTCGTCTAATCTGTCCGCCATTTTTGTCTATTCTGTCCGCCTTAAAAAATCAAATCGCCAATTTCGTCTACTCTGTCCGCCATTTTCGTCCAATATTCTTGAAAGGTATTGTGTTCTTCTTCGATTCTCTCTTTTCATTCTTCTATTTTTCTAATATTTCATGGATCATCTGTCATTTAGTATTGGGATTACTCAAATAATCACTTCAAACTCTAAACAAATCTATATTTTTGAAGATCCGAAATTGGTTGAAAACAAGTCTAAGAGCTTGCATAATTGGTTTGCATTGTGTTGTTACAATTATGTATCAAGCACAATTTATGTTTCATGTATCATGTTAAAGTTTGTCGTTTATATAAAGTATCAAGTAGACAGACTTATAACTATAGTTACACGTATGTATCAAGTACAACTTTGCATTTTTTGTATCATGTTAGTATCAAGTAGACAGACTTATAACTGTAGTTACACTTATGTATCAAGTACAACTTTGCATTTTTTGTATCATGTTAGGCTGTAAAGTGTCTGTTAAGTATCATTTTGACTGACGTATGATATGTTGTTAGAATTATGTATCAAGTTTATTTTTGCATTTTATGTATCATATTAACAACTTTGCATTTTTTGTATCATGTTAGTATCAAGTAGACAGACTTATAATTGTAGTTACCTTTATGTATCAAGTATAACTTTGCATTTTTTGTATCATGTTAGGCTATAAAGTGTCTGTTAAGTATCATTTTGACTGACTTATGATATGTTGTTAGAACAGATTGGGCAGCATTGGATGCATATAAAGACAAGAAAACTGGAGAACTTTTGGGTCCACAACATTCGTTTAATGTGGAGTTTGCTCAAGACAACATGCAACAAATAAGTGATAGCCTGTGAGTATTGTTTATTATTTTATTTTATTTTTTGTATCTATTCATCCTTATAATTATTCTTATTGTTTTTGTAGTGATTGCGGACTATTCGTAGTTGTATATGCAGAATTCTGAGTGACAAAATCAACATGTCATGTAATAGTTTTAAGAGTAGCTATCTTCGCAAAAGATATGCGATTCTTTTATTGAAGTATGGTCTCGACAAGATGAATGCTGGATATGTTAGCAACAGTGATGACCCTTCAAGAATGAACAATGTATTAAACCCATCATCTGAAGATGAAATTGTTAATGTAGGCTAGTTAGTTTTCAATGTTTGATTATTTTTTTTTTGGAGTTAAACAAGATGTTTGAAGTATTTATTAACATAACAACACATATTGTTAAATTATGAAAGTGTTTTGATTTTTAAAATTATTTATTCTATTACTTTAATTTTATTTTTATTACCGTTATGAATTCAGGAATTATGTATACTGTTATTGGGACATGAATGTCATTATTGTATCAAAACTATAATAATAATTACATTAATGTAATTATTGTCATAAAAAAACACTTATTATATATACGTAAATATATTGCATGATACAAAAAAAGAAAATTATATACGTAATTATATTTTGTATATGATACATGAAATATCAAAATATATAATATCACAAACAGTGATACTAGTTATTACACTAGATACATGTCAGTTTTTTTTAAAAAAAAAATTAATATCTTTTGTACAAATAAGATATATTTAGTACTATGATTTATATATATTACGAACAATTATTTGTCCTTCAAAATATGAAATTTTTTTAAGTATCTACACACATGATACTATATTACTAAATTAAATTAAATTAGAACTGACAATAATTTGGGTGAAATATCCGCAATTAATATTGATTAAAGTAAGTTTGAACAAAGATTATAAAATAAAGTATTTGTTATATAAATATAATATAAAATTTAAATAGTGTTTAACAAAAAAAAAAGAATTAGTCTGCCAAAAAAAGGGAAGATCACTAATGAAAAATTATAATTTAATTTAGAGTTTTATATTGGATAAAACTGATCTTGAAACACACAAGTTAATGCTTTTTTTATGGGATTAATAACTGTAGCATATTAAAAGTAGGAATTAATTCAAATTTCAGTTTTTAATCCCCCAAATCACTCAACAAACAGATAAAATAGCACAATATAGAATGTATCCGACTGTTTTATTATGTATCAGAAACTTCTTAAAAATAAGGGATTTTTTGTAAATTGAAAAAAAGTAGGGATAGAAGGTAATTTATGTTTTACACTATGTGATTTACATAATTTTTACATCATAAAATAGTCAGCCCAATTCATTACTACGTGGGTTATTGTTTAAGGTGGCCCAAATCTAACAAATTAAACGAGGGCAACTTTCATATATAGCAAACATAAAATTCATATTTGTATGTTATAGCAAAGTTTATATAATTGTGTTCCATAGCAAACACACACACATATATATATATATATATAATTCGTTATACATATACAATTGAAGCAAATTGTATAAAACAAGAAAGAGAGAAATTATATACAATTTGAATAGTATAAAATGAGAAAGCGAGAAAGGCGGAATTGAATAGTATAAAATGAGAAAGAGAGAAATATATATACAATTTGAATTTGTATAAAACGAGAAAGAGAGAAAGGCAAAAAGAGACTTGTACAGGGAATATACAATTGAATCGAATTGTATAAAACGAGAAAGAGAGAAATTATATACAATTTGAATTTGTATAAAACGAGAAAGACAAAAGAGACTTGGGCAGAAAAATATTTGTATTGTATAATTATAAGTCTATAGAACAAAGATATATGTATTTACATGCATTTATACAATTTTCTCTCGCTTTATACAATTAAAAATACAATTTATACAATTCTACTGTATAAAACGAGAGAGACGAGCGACAAGAATAAGCGAGCGAGAGAGTGAGAGCGAAAGTGACGAGCGCGAATATGAGGGAGAGATAAACTGACAAACAGTTTGCTATGAAACACAAATAAATCAAAGGATAGCTACTATATTTATTTTATATTATTAATTTGTCATTTCATACAATTTTCCCATTAAACAATCCTAATAATATATATTAAGTTTGACTTGTTGGACACAAAGCTTCTGCGAAACTGAATAACCTTTACGTGATATATACAACTCAAACCAAATAGAGATATTAATAAGAAAAAACTAATAGTTATTGACTAACAATACAATTACCTAAACACAAATATCAACTTAACTTTGTTTCAAACATATCACGATAAACAGAAAAAAGATAGACTAACAATACAATTTGCTAAATAGAAATACTAACTTAATTTTGTTCCAAACATATCAACGATAAAACACACACACACAAAAAAAAAAGATAGGCAATAGTTCATCCACTAAAATGTGGTAAATTCAAATTGTACAATACTATGATTAGATTCCAATTGATTTACTGTAGGAGAAAACAATCTGTAGTCATTTTAACACTAATATCATCTAAAATCTGGTTTCTATGCCAAATTTTGCATTTCACAGCATGTAAGAGAAAATCTCAGGGAAAACCTCAATATCCACTAGTTTATTTTGAGTCCAAAAGATAGAGAGGTTAATGAAAAATCATAACCAAATATAGAACAAACAAAAACTTATCAACAGAAGTAAGTAAAGTAAAGAATTGGCCTTGGCCACATTGTAAAACTAGTATAGAATACTCATTGCTTATCTTGAACAGGTGCTGGTGCTGTCCAGTACAGTTTAGTAGCAATTAGAAGCTTTTCTCTAACATGAGGACCGCCTTCGTGATCAACCATCCTGCTTTCCCATTGTAGTCCGTCTAATATGCTCTTCACGTTTACCAATACATCCACATCGTCTCGGAATATTGCACTGCCTTGTGGCCTTAATACTCTATCCATTTCCAATAATATATCTTCCACTTCGCATCTGCAATACATAAACGTGAATCAACGAGTCAACATTCAAGAAACATTCCTCCAGAAATGTGAACCTTCCAAACGTTAATTACCTGTCCTGGTATAGGGTGAATACCGAATCAGCATGTATGAAGTCGTAAGTTCGTGGATACGTTGACATTGCCTCACACCTAAACGAAAAGAGAGCATTCATCTGTCACAATTAGGAAAGCAACAGCAAAAAATGAAATTTATATAGGAGCAGTAGGCTTTACCAGCTTTGGTATGTTCCAATGAAACCACGTTCGAAGATAACACCAAGAGTATTGACTTCAGCTTCAGCGGGGATGATGTTCATGACCCAAACTGGATCATCAACAAGTGCAGCTGCAAATCCTCCCAGCCAAGCATTCATGTCAAGTATGTTACGGTACCTTCCACGTTCTGCTAACTGACTGTCCAATGCCTTGTAGTGGGCGACTCTCTTCTTCCACAATTCTGTATCTTCAGAGAAGCCCTCTGCAGTAACTCCCTCTATACTAGAACTAGCAATCCTAGGAGGGACCGCGGTTAATCTTTCCGGCCAATTCTCCAGTGGCCCTCCAGCGACATCTTTAACACTGGACACTTCTGGAAGTGGACTCAAACAAGCATCTATCTTGGTGTACCTGGAAGATTAAAGACTTAGATAAAAACATTTACAGAATACTAACTAATTTTTCTTAATTTGTGGGGCATAGTTTTGATTTCATTAAGTTGAACAATACTTTTTTATCAGGTACGGTAACTTTCTAGACTTGTATGTGGTACTACAAAAGACATGCATCTAAACGTCTCTTTTAGAAATTTGTTCAAGAAATTCATGTATGAAAGAAGAACGCGTCCTGTGCAGCAAGAAAGTGGCCAGAGGAAACAACAAGTCTCCTGAAGTCGAATTATAATCATTCGAGTAGTAGAACATTACCATGCTTTGTCGGGATCTTGTTCCTGGCAAAAAGGTGGCTTCCTGAAGACCTTTCGGTTAATTTTGCAATGCACATGATTCGTAGGCTTCTGCCAAATTGCTAGATCACCTCTCTGAGTTACTTTTTTCCAGCATAGGCTTCTTGCAACATTTTCAATTTGATCTTGCTCTGCTTTCAAATCGTCCGCTGTTCTGTTCCAGCCCCTCCAATGATCTTGCCAGTTAACGGGTGGTCCCGAGAGAATCCAGTATCCACCAGGACGTAAAATTCGATCAACCTCAATTAAATAAAGACCATCTACACCACATCAAATGAATTAAAAAAAAAAGAAAGTAAAAATACTAATTAAAAAGATTGATCTTCCTTCATGAAGAAGGAGTAGAAAAGGCAAAGGTATTAATTATACCATATTTTCCCCAAGGGATGAGACAGCGAGAACAATGTGCCATGTCAAATGCCCTTGCAGGATAAGGTAGCCGATTAGTAGCTAATATGCCAATCAATGCTGGAACTCCTCGCTCGAGGGCAAATTGAACTTGAGCTTCATGTGTATCTTTAGGTGCAAAGGAAATTGGAAGGATGTCTCTGGAAAGCAAGTAAGCCCCCCAACTAGCAACCTGAAGTTGCGTTAAAGGTAAAATTAGAGCTCATATGGTTAAGGAAAACAAACGGATAAACTTAAGGATTCAATTCTGATATCGTATAAACAATTTAATATTTTCACAAAACCCCTCGTGCCCCTAGCTCCACCCCTAGTATATGGATACTCCCCATTAAATGAGGATCCTCTGTTGATTGTTCAAATTTTACGAGCATGGACATTCCACAGGTTGCTAAAAATTTGGATCATTTGAGTATTCAGTTCAACCAGCCTAGTCAAGAATAAAGTTACTTGTGGACCACTTTTAATGAAATAAGCACAATGCAACTTCTATAATTAGCTACCTACTATCTTGTTAATTTCAATAAAACTGCAATTAAGGATTGGTCCAAAGAATGCTTACACCCGAAAAACTAAAACAAATGGCAAAAAAATAAAATTTAAACAGCATTATCCTAAACAACAAATAAGTTCCATAGTTGCATCAAATGTCAAATTCATAACAGGATTACACTACAAATGTGAAAGCCATAATGACTTTTTCTTTCATAGCAAGTTAATCTACGAGTGATTAATTTGTGCTTTTTCTATTTTGGCAAATCAATATAACATATTCTTTAAGTACAATTGAAGGAAACATACATTTTGGGTTTCAACCAACTGTGGATTCCACTAAGTTTACTAAAAACAAACTACTTAGCACTTTTTTTCTCTTTTCAAATCAAGTAAACCAAATTACTACCAACCTTTTTACAGTAAGACCAATAATTTCAACTCTAGGAATGAAAATCCCACACTTAATATATTTTTAGCCATCATCTTGTTCAACCACTACCAACCCCACCTTCAACCAACTATCTAGGACCTCTTTTTTTTTTTTTATAAAAAATAAACGTAGTGTCAAGACCACTCAACTAATTCTACGAAATACATGTTAGTTCCGCACCTGCAACATGTACCAGATAATTATGTCCACCAAGACTAGGAAGACTATCTTGGACTTCTATTATATAATATATATAGAGATAGATAGATATATGAAGTATCCACTAAAGGTTTAATTGGGAAAAATAACAAAGTCAAATTTATGTAATTCATTATATTTCTCTTTTAAAATGGAAGTATGTAGTTTTTGACAACTTCTAAACCAATACGCTTGAAAACCCATGTGCATT